AAAAAAGAATAGATATGTTAGCCAGCACAGCCTTCTCTAAGGTTTCTGATCTCTTGGGATATTTGTTTTCCTTGTCTTGCTTTGAAATTTGGTGAATCTTTGCATGGTAGCTCTTACATGTGACCTGGGTTGCTTTATTTGGGCTGTGATAATGTGATAAACTAGATAAGGATTAGTCTGCTTGTTGCATTAGCCCTTGATGAGAAGCTGTATTCTGTCATCCATGTGGTACTCCCTTCCCTTACCAGCACTCAGGCATGTTCTATGGTCTAGACTTTGTGTTCAAATAAAAAGTCCAAGCTGATTGAGGTAGCGTTGCTATTTAATGAAACTGCACTGATAATGAATTGCAGCAACTGGCTACAGCTGAACAAATGTTTTTCTAATTCTTTAATTTATTTTCTTCAACGGAGTTTTATTAAAGAATGCCTAAGTTATTTATGCATTTCTTTTCATGGATACAGTTAATAAATATAAAATCTTTGTTTTGTCTTGGTCTTTGTCCTGTCATCAAATGAAACATTTTAGTTAACATGCACAGAAAAAGATATTTCATTATGAGTATCAGGACTATTGCTCAATATGCTGTCTTATTGTCTTAATTTTCTTAAAGAATGTTTCCAAAATACCAAAGTAAATACAGAAATTAGATAATTCTGCCATAGAAAGGAAGGAATATGTGAGTACTTGTCCTTAATCAGCCCTGTATTGGCATCCTTTTGTACTTGCTCCTTGGCCACTGTGTTCAAGTAGAATGGGTCACGCAGGATTTTCTCAGATTTACTGGCTGACCTATAAAGCTAATAGTGTTAAAGGTGTTAAAACTGGGATGTAGACAGACATAAAAATATTCTCATAATCTGTGTGTATGTATGGCAGGTCTGCATAGCAGCCACAACAGACCATATTTTTTGAATATTTTTTCCTTTTATAAAATCACTCTGTAATAGTTGAGATACACTTTTATAATGGAAGAATTCTTCACTGGTGAAAAGTCCTGAGCAGGACGTAAGGAAGCTGTTCAGTGAGGAATTTAGGGAAAGGAGTATGATATGAAGGCCTTTACTTCCAGAACCGGTGAGCAAAACTGGCTTGCAGTTGAGCTTGATGTAAAGCTGGGGAAAGTGAGGAGTCTGGTACCCTAGGCGAGCAAATAAAAAGATGAGGGGATCAAGTTAACATTTGAATTAATGAAAACTAACCAGTCCAGTCTGTGGACCTTCAGAAGTTTAATTCCTTCAAGAAGAACATTTCCTGTGGGTATTTTCAGTGCAGCCCACCTCATAATGCCTTTCCTGCTGGGCTCTTTCACTGAGGAAGAAGCCTTCCACCACAGATCGTTTCTGAATCCTAATGGTAATAGAGAGAACTGTAGAAAACAAAACCCTCTGATTGTATCACTTTGGTAAATTGATTAAGATCCTTTTGAGACATCAGATTGGAAAATATGTCATATCCAACAGAACTTTGTAAGACCTCTGTGACCTGTGTTTTCAGTGGTTCTGGGGAAAAAAATAAAGTTAAAATGAATATAGTGTGTAGTGCAGCTTTGGTTCAGGTGCAATGAAACAACTTACCTCTTGAATGAAGTTGGAATGAGAGAAGAAAGTTTTGCTTTTTGAATACTAAAAATTGTATATACAATTTCATTATAAGTAAAGCAGTGTAAGATGTTCTTGTGCTAAAGATTTATTTGCTCTAGACTGAGAATTCATTGTGGCTGAAAATTAATGCTTATGTGTTTCAAGCTTTGTCCCAGTAAAGGCCAATTTCTGAAGGGGGGAGTACTTCTTATTTGGATTAGATTATTTGATTCTATTAGGATGCTATAATCATTGGTCTTATTAAGGAGCACAGACTGAAAACATTTGAAATGGCACCAGATGGGAAGATTTCTAATTGTTGACACATTTTTCTGTAGTTAGATCTGAAGTTCTTGTTTGGTTGACTAAGATGAACAATGTGGTAGGTTAATACCTATAAGAGATGTTCATATTGATGTTCTTAAACTTGGTGAAATTTAACAAGATATTCCTGATAGGAAAAAAAAAAAATAATCCATATATTGAAAATAATTACTGTAGATTACAAAAGCTACTTAAAAAAAAAAAAAAAAAAAAAAAAAAAAAAGAAGGGGGGTTGAAACTAGACAAATTTGGCAGAAGATCGTTAACTCTGAAAACAATTTCAATATGTGCCAAGGATGTGTTCAAGATCAGGTTACAAAGGAGCTGGATTCACAAAGGGAAGACCCTGACCCACTGGAGCTTCAAGGCTGTAAGGCCTTTTCCAGCTGTTTAATCTTCACTTACGGAAATTAAACCTTCAAGTTTTCTATACTAAGTTCTTTATGTTAATTCTTTGAAGCTGCAGGGTACATAGCAAGAAACGTAGAAGTTGAATTCCAGCACTGTAATTTACTAGATGACTTGTCAGAGTTAAAATATTTTCATGCTTGGCTCGTCTAGTAACTTTTGTTCTATACTAAGTAAAATCACAACTTGGGAGCTATCAGGGTTTATTCCAATGTAACTTTCAATTGTTATAATGGCTTGGTTGTTGGAATTCTTTGAATTTTTGATTAAGATGTGCTCTGTATATTAACCACAGAATTGGGAGTGAGAATTCATTGTCACAGGGATTCTTCTTTCACACAGTTCATCCTATGTGGGAAGGGACAAAGTTCTGACCTTTGCCAAGTTAGGAGCATTAGGGAGATTTCCTAGTTAACTTACTCTCATCAAGAACACTAGTGATTTTTTTTTTTTTCTTCAAATGGAAAAGATCAATCTGGACACAACAGTTATGAGTAGAATAATGAGTGGTGGCACAGCCTCTCTCTCAGTATGTGATGAACAGTGAGTCCTACAGAAAGCCAGGGTACCTAAGGGGGTTACCCCTTTGGCCTCCAAATGGAACCATCTCCAAAAGGGCTTACTCTCTAGTATGAAAATGAGTGAGGAGATACTACGTGCAACTTTTCAAATAGTAATTAATTTCCATACTGGAGTACATAACTTATGCCTACTATCCAAGTAAGAATTATTATTTAAGTCTTTGACAACCTCCATTAATATCCTTCTCTCTAAATTGTAAAGATATGGATTTGATGGGTGGAATATTTGCTGGAAGAAGAATTGTTTGTAGAATTGTACCCGTGAACCTGTTGGAGTGCGTCCAGAAGAGAGCTACAAGAATGATCCAGGGGGTGGAATACCACCCTGTATGAGGACAGGCTGAGAGAACTGGGGCTGTTCAGCCTGGAGAAGAGAAGGCTCTGGGGAGGCCTGATAGCAGCCTTCCAGTATCCAAAGTGGGACTATAAAGAGGGAACAGACTCTTTAGTGCAGTATATTGTGATAGAACAAGGGGAAATGGCTTCAAACTAAAAGAGGGGAGATCTAGACTGGATGTGAGGAAGAAGCTTTTACAATTAGGGTACTGAGGTGCTGGAACAGGCTGCCCAGAGATGTGGTGGAAGCCCCATTCCTGGGCACACTCAAGGTCAGACTGAATGGGGCTCTGAGCACTCTGATGTAGCTGTAGGCATCCCAGTTCGTTGCAGGGGAGTTGGACTAAATGGTCTATAAGGGTCTCTTCCAACTAAGTGGATTCCATGATTAATTTGCTGCATTACCTGCTTGAACAGATGAAAACTCAAGAGCTATAGATCTTGTTTTCATGCAAGCAAGGCTTTAAACAAATCAAAGAAAGATAAGAGCCCAAGAAATTGATGTAACACAGAATGAGTTATATCCTGCTGAAATTGTAGAGCCCGATAATGAGATGTTATCAGACTTTACAGTAAAGAAAGTGGAGAAGCTTATAAACTGGGACACCTCTAAAAGCCCAGTCTCGGTGCTTGTAGCATTATGGAAGTGGAACAGACATGCTTTGGCATAGAGAGTGTAACAGCTCTTTTATTCATCCCTTATGATTCTATTAAGAGATCAGTGCTTTTTTTCTTCTGTAAGGAAACTGTATGTCTCTTAGGTGACAAAGTTCAAACACCACTAACAGGAGGTGGGATTTTTGGGTCTCATAATAGTTGCATGCAGGTAACAAAGCCAAGAGGCTTTTGGTGTTCTTTTCATTTTGAATCTACTAAATAAGTCTTTGCTTAAGCTACCTGCTAGGTTTTTGAACTAAGCATAAACTGTTTTCTATATTTATGCTCTTTAATTTAATAAAATCCAAAAGTTTTCCCAGGACCATCTAGTTTAACCTCAGTTATCAGGTAAAACTCTCGTAATTGGCAATCTGCATTCATTATTCCAGCAATCTCAACATATTTTTTTGCTGTTATACCCCAGTTACATTGTATTTGTCAATGCAAAAAATCCTTTTTTTCCCCCTGCTAGTAACTTTTTTCTCACTGACAAATTCACACATTCATTTTAAGATGCATAATAAAGCATTCATTTTGTGCAAAACACTTAATATGTTGGTGGTGATCATTAGAACTATGGTGATTCTTCTACTCAGTTAAAATTAGGCTATTTTTTCTCTGTTTAAACTAGCCTGCACTCTTTTTTCTAAGCATCTGAATCATTAGCCTTATTACTATATATTTGTATATCCATTACCTAGTTGGAATTATTCTGAAAGGTGATACAACTGTTAGGTCAATATATAGCTCAATGAGGTGTTAGCATTGTGGTTTTGATGATCAGTTTCATGCCCTTTTAAGCTGTGTTCTCACCAAATATCGTGTAGGTTTCATCCGTAGCTGTGAATGCATTAAGTGCTGGACTGCTGCTGTACAGCTTGAAACAGAGTTTGAAAGCTTGCTGTGTGGAGGAAATAAAACACTAAAAACATTTCCCCAGGTTTTATTCTTTTTTATGATTACATCAATGCATTATTTTAAAAAATACTGTATAAAATTATACAGTGAGACATTTTACCTCACTGCTATCACACAGACAATTGAGAGATTGTACTGAAATGAAAATCAGAGCAGTGAAGTACAGTAAGTTTACATGAATGTTCTTTCTTAGATATTTGGGCAATTGGCTGCATATTTGCTGAGCTGTTGACTTCAGAACCTATATTTCACTGTCGTCAGGAGGACATCAAAACAAGTAATCCTTTCCATCACGATCAGCTGGATCGCATTTTCAGTGTAATGGGATTCCCTGCAGGTAACTGATTTTCATTAAAGGTTTGAGTTGTTTGCACGGATGCGAGGAATCCGTCAGTCTGATGGATTTGGAAATGCTGACTATTATGGAACAGTAGTGCTGGCCATTATAGAATGTCAAACAACTGTAGTTATTTCTTGGTGTGTATTACTTAATATTCACTTCCAGAATTGTAAATGCTTCTCCTTTTTTTGCCCTCACCAAAGATAAAGACTGGGAAGACATAAGAAAGATGCCAGAATATCCAACTCTTCAAAAAGATTTCAGGAGAACAACGTGAGTAATGATAACACGACACTGCAGTGAATGAAGCAGATTGGCAGAAACTGGATCCTATTGTTGTGAAACTTTGTTGTAGGGAGGGGAATTTGGGGTGTTTGGGTCCCAAAATTGTAACAGCTGTCCTGTTTTAAATTAATTGTTCTGCTTGAATAATATTCTCTTTCTCAAGTGCTTAATAGCATTAGATGAGTGACCATTTCTCTGGAAGGGATCGCTGTAAGTGTCATTTAATCTATGGCAAACACAAATGAAGTTGCTTTAACTTAGCTGTTCAAGATAACTTAATTCATTTTGTGTGAGAAGGAATAGATAAGCACCTCCTTAGTCCTTCTGACCAGCCGAAATCTGGAGACAGTACAGCAGTAGTCAGAAAGAAATGCAATCAATAGGTTGTGATGTAAAGCTTGTCTGGAATCTGAAAATTTCCTACTTCTAGTGTTACCAGTTGCTTTGGCTAAATCAAATTAGTGGTGGTGATAGATCAAAGGGTATCAAGGGTAACACAGTCTCTGCTATAATGCAGAGGACAAAGACTAGGGAGTTCAGGATTTTCTTTTGAGGGAGACAGAATGGTTAACTTCTCTGCTCAGTTACAGCTGGAAACAATAACCTACTCAATAACAAACTGCTGTGCACTTTCTGTGTCAGAGTTGCTTTGGAAAACTAGAGTGTAAACTTCAGGTTGAGTTTCTCTGTCATAAGCCAGTGTCAACAGCTTATCCATACACTATAAAAAGTTGCATGTTCTATGGAAATAATCTGTATGCTGTTGATACTACTTCTGTTAGTGAAAAGCATACTTAGAGCGTCAACTGCTTGATAACTATGATGTGTGTTCTGATAGCAGTTCTTTCTACAGTTTACTTATTAAAGGCTGATGTTTTGTGATTAGTGGTACAGTTCCATATTCTTAATGCTCTGTTATTTCAGAAATGCCTTTGAACAATGTTTTTCAGGTATGCCAATAGTAGCCTCATAAAATACATGGAGAAACACAAAGTCAAGCCTGACAGCAAAGTCTTTCTTTTGGTAAGTACGAACTGAAAATCACTATGATGGTGGGAGTGAAATGTGTTTCTAATATTAATATCTGCGTCTGTTCTTCTAACTCATTCTTCTGAACATTGACAAAACAAAGCCATTTATCACTAACTTGCCATTTTTTTAGATATGTTTTCTTTGTATACATTCATGTTGAGATTATGATTAAACTGCCCATGCTCAAGAGCTGAAGTTTTTATCTAATTTTGATCTGCAAGGAACTTGTAAACCCAGCCTTACACTTTTCTCTACTATGCAAATAGGATACTGAGTAGTACATATCCCTTAGTTCTACATAGTTTCAAAGCTGAAGAGTTCTCAAGCTAAAAACTTGTGTGAGGTAAAGAGAGGAGGAATGGAAAGTGTAAGTATCTTTTTTTTGTGTGTGTATGTGTGTGTGTGTGTGAAGGAAAACTTTCACAGAAGTCTGAGATTCCATGAAAATCAAAATTTATTCAACTCAGCTTACTGGACACAGATTGGAATAATCTTGAGGAAAATTCTAATTGGAAAGACCACAGTTGTAACAATTAGCACCTGAATTTCTCTGCTTTCTGACTAGAGGTGAAAACCACCAGAAAACCTACTTTTATGGAAGGGCAAAGAAGGAAACACTAATTAATCATGTGAACACCAGGTTGAGGGTGGGTGGGCCACCTTTCCAGAGGAAAATATTAATCAAATCTCTGAAGAGTACAGAACTAGCCATAAGGTGGCAAAAATGTATATTAAAAAAATGAACTTTTCATCATGGAGAATTAGGCAGGATTATTGCAAGATGACCAAAAAAATAGTTGGTAACCTATGTATTCCTCTATATAGCACTGAGGGTGAGAACTGACATTTTTTGAAATCTAAAGGCTGTTTTCTAAACATCATGTGGAAGACTTCTCTTAGCCAAGGTAGTTCTCCCTATTAATAATCAGGGCTGAGCAGGTGTGATTTAGTTGTTGACCACATGGGTGGAAGTTGTTCTTAAATAGGTGAGCCTGCCAGAGCTCTGAATAAGATTGCACAGGTCACGGCAAATAATTTTTACCAAAAAACAGGATATCGTGCCATGCTGCTGACTGACATTGAATGTTAATGTCTATGTGAAAGTTAGAATGTTTTCTCCCTTGGAAAGTGCATCTTTTGTTGCTGCCCTGGAAAAAGTTACAAGCATTATATTTATAGCTATCCTGTCAGGCCAGCCAGAGTTTAGTTGCTGAGAAGAATGAGACCCAATCTCACAGGCTTTCTATGTTGTATTAGCAGTTGCTATCCTGTAAGCAAAATGAGTCCGAACTTATTTTTTTCACTTTCATATAAACAGTGGAAGCTACAGAAAATCAGACAAAGAAAACTGGCTCCCAAGTAGCATCATTGTTAGACAGGGATCTCACTTAGAGTGATGCTGTGCGTGGCACCACCTGGAATGAGGAAACTCATTATATCATCTGGGTTGGAGGGGAATTATTAAGAGAGTGAGCAGATCACTTTAAACATTCTGGATATCTTTAGATTTTTTGTTGTGGTGCAATAGCCTTTTATTTGGAAGACAGAGTACGGTGTTTGGAAGTAGTTTTGTGATGAGGGTGATATATGGTGCAATTTTATTTTTGTTGCTAACTTGAATTAGAAGGGCATTATGTGAGACCAGGATATGTACTATATAATTCGAGCTCAAAGAAGGAAGGGTGTGCTCCTCCTCTTTCTCAATACCAATTAGTGTGAAACGGGAACCTGTGTGAGTGACAGAATGAGTGGAATTTTGCTAGTGAGAGAGGTGAAGATTTATTGTTTCTGACTCTAAGTGAAATGTAGTCCTGATAATATTCAGTCTCTCCTGACACATTTTTCCTGTTGTGTCGTGCTATAGAACAGTATGAAAGTTATATACATCACAAAAAAAAACCCCACTGTTATTTAGAAATTGTGCTTCATAAACATGTAATAGCTGAGTTTAATGTTGCTTTAGGACAGTGTATCAGCCTTAGCAACTAATACAATTAATACTTAGCAATTAATACTTAAGGGCAAGCTGCCCTTAAGCATTTCTTATGTGAGAGACGTTTGCGGCCATAGTGTTCTGTAGCTCTTGGGAACATGTGCTCTAGTTCTTGGGAAATTATAGTTTAGGCTTGTCTGGGCAAGCCATGGATAATTCAACAGTTATGTAAGTTGCAAGTTTGGAAAGTGATAGTTTGATAAACTTCTTGCTCATTTTGCTATTTACAGCTTCAGAAACTTCTTACTATGGATCCTACAAAGAGAATTACCTCAGAGCAGGCTTTGCAGGACCCTTATTTTCAAGAGGATCCTCTGCCTACATCAGAGTATGTATTCTCACTTCTGTGCTCTTCAAGGAGGTTGTCTTTCTTCTAAATGCTAATCCCTGATAAGAGATGACAGCTCTAAAATTCACAGATGTCTGCATGTGTCACAAGAAGTGGTCGCTCTGGCATGCTCAGTAGAAACTGTTAACATAGATCTAAATATTCTGTATCTACCGATGCCAGGACTGGCTGTGAGCACTAACCCCCTATTACACAAGTGTTGTAATTCTGAATGTGCTATCAAAGCCAGTATTATTGCAGTATTTAGAGAATTAATTGGCTCCCTGTTCTGTTCTGCCTTGCGCAGCCTTACGGAGCTCTGCTTTCCGTTACCTGGTTTCATTGTGCTTCCCCCTAGGCCTAGGGCAGTTCTCTGATCTGCACTCTGTTCCCATGCCCTTTTGTGCAGGGTCATAACAATATGAGGAGAGAAAAGAAATCAATGACTACCACAGATCCCACATAGGCAACTGCTAGTGACAGAACTTCACCCGCCAATTTCTCTTCCCAGTTTTCAGAAGCATTATGATCTGTAAAATCTGAATGCAGGGAGACTTCTACCTTTGTTTTTGCTGCTTCCTCAGCTAGCAGGAGACAAACAGAGAAAGAAGGGAACAGTCACATGAGTGCAAATGTAGTCTAGCTGAGCTGAGCTAATGTTTTTTTTTTTTTTTCTTCCTCTTATTTTTTCTGTTTGGATAAACCAGAATTCTACTAGATAAAACACTGTTAAGAAACTTTACATAATAACGTAATAAAACCATGTTGATTTTGTTTTACTTTAAATACCTTCAGCAGTTAGCACAGAAATCTAAGAAATTGGTAGTGGTCAGCATCTACCAATAATTTTCTGTGTAGTGTTTACCTGAGGCTATCCTATGTGGAACCATAGCTCCTCACGATTGACAGTAAGACACTGTGATGAATTATCTGCCATAAACGTGAAGGGATGTTCTAAATCCTATTAGCCACACGAATTCAGAAGCTGTCTTTTTTCTCTAAACAAGATCTGAGAAGCTAATTGAGCAATAACTGTGTAGTCAGGATTGCAGATATATTTCAGACCACTGTAAGTCAAGTAGGGACTCGCAAAGCATTATTTATCTTTGGATCAGGCCCTTTATTCAATGAGCATGTGTGCTCCAGCCAGGTGTTGTGTAACATCTGGCTGCTACAGCACTGTATTTTGCCATCTGAAGCAACAAGTGGTCGTTCTCGCATTCAAGCTTGTTCAGCCATACCATGATTTCTAAATGAGGGCCTCATGCCAACAGCAAGGAGATTTGCCATCATGATCAGCATCTTGCTGCCGGTATCTTCTGCTGTCTTGAGTATTCTCAGTGCTGCTCGCTCATGGCCATGAAATTACAGAAATTAATTTGTGTTATATTCATATCTTTAATATAGCATTAAATGAAAGTATGTCATGTGTACATATTTGTTGTGTTTCTGCTGTGTTCTAGTGTGTTTGCTGGCTGCCAGATTCCATATCCCAAACGAGAATTCCTCAATGAAGATGAACCTGAAGAGAAAGGGGATAAGGTATAACTTTTTTTTTTCCTTTTTTCCTTTTTTTTCTTTTCCTTTCTAAGTATGAAATAAGGAAGAGTTATGTGTCTTCCACATTTAAACTGGTAAAATAAAAGATTAAAAGTATCAGATCACTTTGGGGTGTCTTGGGTGGTATCACCACCAGTTTCCCCTGACCTGTGGGCATTGAGCTAGTTCAGTTCTGTCGACATCAGCCTGCTTTCAGTCACTGTCATTCCAGGAGAGCCTTGCCTACCTCATCCTGCATTGCAGAAATAAAATGTGTTGTGATCACAAGAAAATAATAGAATTTTCATTGTATAAGTGGCATGCATCCAGCCATTTGAAAGTAGGTGGCTGTCAGGGTCTCGAGTAAATAATGGCAACCTTCTGGCATTGCATCAGAACGTTTAATCCATCTGCACACAGTTTCCTGATCATGTTTTAAGGGCCCTCAGACAAAAGAGTAATAAAGATCATGAGCTATTCTGTGGTGACAATCTACTCAGAATACCCTCTTTCCCATAGCTCCTTAGATACAAGTAGGAACGTATTTGCGTGTGGTAAATTTTGGTGTGTTGGCAGCATATCTAACTTGCTTTATGTGTGTGGTTCAGCTGTGCCACGTGACAAAAGTGATTGCCCCATCTTGGTGCGGGGGCTGGACAATACCACTATAGCATATGAACCAGCTTGTTATTTTTGCCGTAAGTGCTCACTGAGGTGCCAGTTGTAACATAAAGGCAGCAAAACGTGGAGAAAACAGACATAATGTGATTGTCTGAGGGCTGCGTGAGAAGTACCATTACAGTTTTTGAGAAATCTTTTGATTACATGTACCTTCTGTTTTAGCATTTTCCTTGTAACGGGGGAACTAGCTGAGTCTGTGTGCCTACAAAAATACATTTCAGACAGAAGATTTTGTTTTCAGAACAGATATTGTAGATACTTCTGTACTGAGAACAAGTGGTAATGTCCTGATTTTTTTTTTTGTCCAGATAGTTCTTCAAAGAGAGGAAACAGACCTAAGCAAAAATACAATGAAAGTCATGATTCTGATTTGATTGTATTGTAGTTACTGGCATTATTCTCACAACTTCACAAATAAGAACTTGTACAACTGTGAGTTGTAAGAACAACTCACAACTTCAAAAATAAGAACAAGGCTTATGAAATGATTCTGGCTTTTGTGAAGTCAATGTATTTAAAAGTAAATATCATTTTCATGGGAATACTGGGAAGAAAAAAACAATGGAATGTTTATACTCAAAACAGCCATTGTGTAAGTGATCTTTGAGAGTGCTGGGGACAGTCACGTATTTACATAATACAGTCCAAATGAAACTTCTTTCAGACCACGTAGCTAATTTAAGTTACGTGTTGCTCATTGAATCTGTTCTCAGAGTGCAGAAAATGTGAAAGTAAAGAACATTCTACAGACTGAGTCTGTACCATGCTTTGTCTATGATGATGTTGCAAGTGAAAAGTGTTTTTGTTTATTTTTTTATAGTGTATGATTTGATTTGTTTTTAAAACCATAAATATTTGTGTACCTTGGAGACCTACAGTTCTCTGTTTATTTGGAGCTTGCATGTTACTTGAGTAACCTTTAACACAAACTTCCTTTTTTCAGAGTTGTTAATTGTTAGTCAGCAAAGCTAAAACAAGTGTTTGTGAAACAAAATGAAAACATTCTGGTAGGCAAGTTCTCTTTGGTTTCTTTCTAGGCAGGACCAGAATTTAATTTTGGTAATTTGTGTCTCAATAATGAAACGTGGTCGTATGTTGATCAGTTTAGAGAAGTTTTTTGTTTAGGAACCACTGTGAACTAGACTGATCTGCAGGTATTTCTGCTGGTGTGAGCTGTTCCCATGTGCTAAGGTGGTGCAGTTAGACTCCAGGCAGAATCTGTCAGAGTAGACTTCGGTCTCTACCAGGACACTAGAAGTAGTAGATGTGTGGAAGAGCAACCTCAGAATAGTCAAGAAAATTTTGTGTGAGTGTCCAAAGTGCCAGGCATTAAACCAATTGCAAATGGTGGTCCTTAATTGTAAGAGTTCCTGCCATATCTCTTCATAATTTACACAGTCGCAGTTTTTCAGCTCTCACAGTAGCAGCCACCTCACTCACATCCCAACATCCATATGAAAATGCAAATCTCAGAATCTAGCACAGATATTGCCTTAGTCATTGGCATTTGTTGGTACGTGAAGCTCAAATGGCTATTATAAGATAAATTGCTTCTTAACACATTCCATGACAAGCCTGTTTCAAACTCTTATTTTAAACTCTTAACAGTTTACATCTCCCTAGAAAAAGAGTCTGACTGATCTGGCATTTGAGGATTACTAGTGGTGGGATATATTACTGGTTTTGCTTTGTGTGAAATGGAAATACATGTCATCCAGAAATCTTTGAAGGGGCAAAGCTTCTTTGGAATCTTATATGAATATACCATTGTAAATTTGATCTGAATATATCTTGGGAAACTGTAGCAAGAAGTGACACAGATACAGATTTTCATGTCATTTTTCTGAGATAACTAAGATGACTTGCCATGACTGAGAGCATCAACAATTCAGTGCTAGTGGCAATTGGTTGTCATAATTTGTGATTAACTGATAACGTGAGCTTGTATTAAAGGTTGCCATACCAAAACTTTGAGAAAGACATAAGCAGATATCACAGGTAAAAAAAACTATCCTGAAATGTTCCACACTCCCATGTGGTACACTATGATTGTTTGGGGGAGTGTGACTTAACTGTAGGGATTAATTCAAGACATAAAAATCGCAGAGCTTTCTATGATGAACAGGATGCATACCTGACGTTAGGAGCAAAGTTGCTTTTCTTTGCAGTTCTCTTACTTGCTTCCTCTCTTAGAGGAGTCTTCTGTAGTGCTCAAAAGCGAACACAGGTTGTCTTTCCTTGTCAGTGACTAAGCATGGAGGGAAGAGTTCCAATTTTGCTACTTTTCTGACCTCTCTAGACCATAATACTCTTTCCAATCAATAGCTTCTGAAACCAGAAGAGTTGCATATTTTACTCTTTTGCTCCTGTGTTCTCCTTAACTTTTTTTTCTTCCCTTTGGTGACACTTTTCTGTTTCTCTTCCTCTTAGACCATGGTATTGTATTAATTGCCTGACTTCTCTTCCTTTGCTATTCTTTTCTTTCTCATGCCAGATTCCTATCTCGTCTTTGTCCTTCTATCTTCAGCTGTTTCTCGTTTTTTGCTTTCTGCTGTTTCTGTAAGATTTTCAGACCCTGTAGTTAGGCACCATGCTGGACTGTGTTCCCAGTGTACCACTCTTTCCAAGGTGCTTTTAAGAGAAAGAGAGAAAAAAGGTAATGGAACCTGCTTTTGGTTCTGCCAAAGAATTTCCTTGCAACTGGAAGAAATGATGTAATGTTTCTGGTCTTCATTTGCTTGCCTTTCTGATGGTAACATTGCCAGCCTCCTTTGGATTATTGCAGTGCATCGTCTGTGGAAGTTGGAAAAGTGGTTTTGGTTCTAAGTGAATGGGGCTGTTGAAGCTCTTAGGAAAATATACTGTGGTTCACCACATATGCCACTGAGAACTAGTAAAATTCGGGGTGCTTTGATTCTGCTCATTAGGTGTTTATAAATCACTCCTTCCAATCCTGCTCCCTGTTACTCTGGCCTAAGTGCTTGCCTAGCTGCAGCAATCACTAGGCTGTCATGCCAGCTTTAGCCTCGCCTGCTTTGTTAAAAAAACAAAAACAAAAACACAAAAAAACAACAGAAAACCACAACAGAAAGAAGTGAACCACAAATGACATACCGCAATTTGAGGCCCACAGGAGCACATCTTATGCATTACCTGGCCTTGCCGTGCTTTCCTGGCAAACGCGAGGGCATGCTGCCTTTCCAGCAGCACGGTGGCACCAGGCTTAGTGACTCCCTCAGGATCACAAACGAGTACGGAGCAAATGACGGTGTCGTGTCACTTCTTTCTTCCTTTAGAATCAGCAGCAGCAGAACCAACATCAGCAGCAAACAGCACCTCAGCAGCAGCCGCAGGCCGCGCCGCAGCAACCGCAGCAGCAGCAGCAGAACAGCACCCAAACCAATGGGACGGCTGGGGGCACGGGTGCGGGCGGAGGGGGTGCGGGTGCAGGACTCCAGCACAGCCAGGACTCCAGCCTCAACCAGGTGCCTCCAAACAAGAAACCACGCATAGGGCCTTCAGGCGCTAACTCAGGCGGGCCTGTCATGCCTTCAGATTATCAGGTACCTCTTGAATTTTTGCTGCTTCTGATTGCGTGGAGGCAAAATGTCGTTTTCTCTCTTCCCTGCTGCAATTACAAAAAAAATCATGTTGTAACGAATTTTCCTTGTAGCCTTAGCAGGTATGCTCTGATACGTTAGGGCAGTAAAAAGGTTTTGCGCTGTGGTTAGTAATTTCCGATACAAAACAAGTTATATCTGCTGCACCCCATTAAGTGTTGAGGGCTCAACCACCCCAGGAGAGCACTTAAGTATGTGCATAGCTTTATGTGAGAATAATCTTAGCGAAGCCACTGCAACTATTTCATGAATGTAAATGCTGCATCATATCGCATTCAAAATACTTGGCTCTTGGCAAGGTTAAATCCTGTGTGAGAGGCAGATCCTGGGAAGCAAGTCAAAATTAGAGCCAGGCTTTTCCCTTTGGTTTCTGCTTTGTTTTACCTGATATCATCTCACATATGGAATGATTCTGTAGTTTGTTCCAATATTTCCAATATCTTACTAAATTTACTTCTAAAGTTAAAGAGAAAATGCATGTTAGCACAAGTTTTGGTTCATTGGTATGAATCATGCTGAAGCAGGGCGTGAGCATGCGTAATGTGTTGTGGCCAGAGTTGAATAGATTTCATGTTTTTCACTTCAGTAGCATTCATGTATCACCGAATTGTTTTGGGACTTGCATGTTTGTCTCTCTCTCATAGAATTATGATGCTTTCCTCTGAAAAAGTGACACTAAATGTCCAAAGAGTTGATTCAACCAGCTTCTTCAGTATTTGTGAAAAATGAGTCAAAAGCAGATTAACAGCAAGGTAGCTAGTAAAAGTATGTTTTAAAGCATGTTAGGGATTCTGTTTGCTACCAACCTTCACCTTTAAGAAACATGTTCAGGCTATTTTAAGCATAAAATAAACAGCTTTAATACAAAACAAAGAAGCTCTGGAATTGCTTTGGCTTCTCCACCCATACCTCCTCCACATGCAATTGATTTCTCAGTGTCAGACATTTTTCTCCTTTTTCTGTTTTACTCTTTTAATTACAAATGATCACACAGATACTGAGGGCAATGCAAGGGTAAAGACAACAAGGTTTCCTTTTTGAAAAGTTCCAGGCAGGCTCGAAGTCTGGACTGATCACTACAGCTGTCTGACTAATAGTATTTATGGCTGGCCTGTTTTGATCTGTATTTTGAGAGCTGATATGCTGCATTTGATGATGTCCATTACAGAATCCTTACACAGCTCTCCAAACTGTTGGCAAGATTCCACCTTACAAGTTTTTAGCAGTCTAAATCTAATACTTTTTGAGATGGTTAAATTCTTTTTTTTTTTTTTAACCTCCCATGACCCTTTCCTTCTAGAATTTAACAGCACAGGCAGCAAAATAATGATCTGTATGCTCCCTTTACATCACTTGCTAAACTGTCTGATCTGATTATCCATTTTTAAATTTGGATTTGGCTGTCTGCCCTTAAATTCTAGCTGATGGTCTTCTGTTCCAGAGAGGAATGTCTGCAATTTGTCCAAGTCCGACTTAGTTCTGAAATAAATAAATAAATAATTTTTTAAAAAAAGTCTCTTCTGCAGAATAAAAATAAGCATGAGCAGGTGTTCTGTAGTCCTATGCATCAGTTTTACTCCATTATATTCCAACTCAGAAGTAGGAGGAAGAATTGCTTTGCTTTGAGTTTCATTTAGCTGGTTACCTAATGTCTCTGTTGAATTTTTTTTGTGATTTGTCGATACCAATATCAATATGTGTTACTTTTACAAATGACAATGGGAATTCTCTCTTAATTTTTACTGAACATTGCTTATATGACCTCAGGTTTTTTGCTTAACGTGATAACGTGGCATTTTCATCCAGAACCGGTTCCTATATGATCACAGTGTTTATCATAATTCTTCTTTTTTTTCCTGTTAAAAGTTGCAAAATTTTGTGCCAAATTATATGTTTCAGACACTTGGTAAACATTCTAATTACACAGGCCAAACACAGCCTGGTTACTGATGGTGTACGTGCCACTGAGAGAGATCTCTTTCAAAGCTGGCGTGCTGCGCTGTCCTCTCCCCAACTGCCCCTTGTGAACAAGTGAAGCTGATATTGATTATATTGATATTATATTGAGATACAGTGGTCTAGAAGATGGACAGTTATCTCTCTCTAATACCACTAATCTTCACCTTGAAATCAACCTTCAGTTTTCTATCTTTAAACAGAACATGGAAAAAATAATGCAGTATTTTTAGGCTTTAGTATGTTTTCAAGTTTATGTGAAATTAAAGATAAAGCTACGTATAGGAAAAGAAAGGGCAGAAATGTTTTGGCAGTGCCTGAACTTTGGGTTCTTGCTCTTCTTCATCTGGCTGGAAAGCTGTCAAGACATTTTCATAGCACTCCTGGTTGGGATCTGATGGTTAGATGAGACCACTGAATTGTCTCTTACCTGCACCAAGCAGATGGTTGGTCTGTGAAGAATGTTGTATTCTTACAGACCCACTTGATCTGTGGGCTTTCCTTTCAGAACTCACATTTTCCAGATATTTTCCATAAATAACTCCTGATCTTGATATTTAGTCAGAATGTAGGATTTTAATACTCTTCCTGGATGATCACTGTTTGACACAGTCTTTCTGATAACTGTAAGGCATAGGCAGGTAGAACCAAGCTGTACACAGTGAAAGAAATCTTTATTGAAAGATGCCTGAGCCTGCACTTAACTTGGCTGAAAACAAATGGCACGCTGTCTGTGAGTAGATGTACCATTTTGTTTTGTAGATTCATTTTTTGTGGATTGGATTGTAGGGTTTACTTTGCTAGAGAGTCTCCCATCCATTAAGCCGTACCTTTTGCACAAAGTGATTTTGCAGCTCGTTATTAATTCTTAACAGGGAATAGCATGATAATGAGCATTCAAATTAAACATTCTGGACGTCACAAATTATCCATGAACCTGGGTTGCTGAAATTGAGGTCCTCTTAGCTAACATCTCAAACAATGGAGGAAAAAAACATTTAGCACAGACATATAAATTTGAACACACACATGCCCATCATTAAGCAGCTGTTTTCCAGTAATTAAGGCAACAGGTTGAAAGACTCACCTAAAATTATAATATTTTATGTTATCATTTTCCTGGACAAAGGTCCTGTCATGTTCATGGACATGTTCATTGTGTATTTGTACTTCAAATAATTGATGTGCACGTGCTGTACTTTTAAATGTCTGCCGATGACATGGTGTATTTTCTGGGCTGCGTTAAGGCTGATTACAGATCAGATTGATTACCTGTTTATGGGACTTAAAACAGTAATACCTTTCAGTTAGTTTCTCCAACAGCCAGATTTTAATGAGCTTCAGAGAGCTTGAAAGTTTCCTGTGCTGCACAGTCCTAACAGGCTGTTTTTCATTTCCCTCATCCCATTCTCTTTTTTCTCCAGCACTCCAGCTCACGCCTGAGTTACCAAAGCAACATTCAGGGATCTTCTCAGTCCCAGAGTACAATGGGCTATTCCACATCATCTCAGCAGAGCTCTCAGTATCACCAGTCTCACCAGTCTCACAGGTACTGAGAGGCTTAACAGACTGCACTCAAAAGGAATGGACTAAAAGCCAGAAGTCTCCAGCAATATGAAGTTTGTGATGATGAGAAGAACCAAAAATACGAACTATGATGCAGAACTGAAATTCTCAATTGCAAAAGGAAAACTTTACTTACTGAAGACTTTTTTTTTTTTCCTGCCCCTTTATTGCCATAAAGGAGATTTTTGTGAAGTTTTCCTTCCTCCCTGCCCTTGCATGTGCTCTATTGTGGTTACTCTAATGAACCCTTCTGATCTGAACCCAGCACTTAACTTCTTTAACCTTTGGAATTTTGAAGGATTCCTGGTGCACCTTCCTTTATGCTGTAGTGATTGCCATAAATCTGTCTTTTCAATCTCTTTGATGGGATTTTAAAGTTTTAAAATCTTGAACTCCCAGGCTTTCAAGCTTGTATATAGTTAGTTTTATACTAGGCAAACCAGTTTAGCTATACAGGTATATTGCACCTTTTTAAAGCACTATGTTATTTTCACAGGATATTACTGTTTTGCTCATGGATGTCAAGAACAGCAAAGTTTTACTGTTCCAGAGTATTTTACTATTCTGTTTTTATTAGTCTAGTTTTCAGGCGAGGTCTTAAAAAGAAAAAGAAAAGAAAAAGAAAAAAAGAAAAAGGAAAAAAGAAAAAAATGACCCAAGTCTCTGCAGCAGCAAATACGCTTCATGCTACTGGACTGAACTCCAGACAGAAGATTGCTGATATTATTTAACTCATTCACATTGAATTCTTGAAATCACAGTGATCGTGCTCTGACTAGTTTTAAATTAAGTGTTGTTTTAAATGGAACAATGACTGTCACATAAAAAGGAGATGCTTTCAGGATTTGTTGGAACAGAAAAATGGAATGTCTTCCCAGGCTGGACACCAAAATAGTTGAGAAAACATTTTTACTGCCCTCAAGTTTCAGGAGGAATGTGGATGATGGCTTGTTTTTCTGTTAAGCAGCTGATTAATGTATGTGAGAGTTCTATAAATGTAGCTTCTCTTTCACATTCCTGAGTATGACAGAAATACTGAGACTTATAAAAGCGAATACGTTTAGTCAATTTTTGTTAGATTGATAATTAAGAGAAATTATTGTGCAGTTTGAAAAGCATGTTGAAAATTCTTCCTTTTTCATGTCGGTGATGCATATTCTATGTCCCTCACATTGCTGTGATTAACCCAGATTAGTTACACCAGATGCGCTTGATTGCACTGAAATGTTTCTTTTTCCCTAGAGCAAACATGTTTTGATTGTGCCTAAGGACTGTAAGTGGATGGGTAGCTGGCAGAAAATCCCCAGTAAATAAGCAGCTTTCAGAAGCGTGATCAGAGAATCATTGTCCAACTTCAGCAACCACAGTTATTCAGAGAGAAGCAACATATAATTTGGGACAGCTTCGTTTTTCCTTCAGCCATCAGAAATAAGGAGGTCTTGTTGCAGAAAACCTGGAAAAACCATTAATGCTGTTCGAAAGCTGCCGACGGTGTAACATCAGCGAGCTTCTGAAGTTGGTGTCCAGAGGTGTAATCAGAGGAGTTTATATGTGAATAGTCGGTGTTACAACCACTTACACTGTGTTCTCTTCTGTAAATATTGCAGTACTTACCTGCACGCATTCACATTGAAGTTGTGCTCATACCTAGGAAGACATGTGGGTCTGTTTGCTCTGAGGATAATGCTTTTTAGCACAGGAATTTGATTTTATTGGGTTATTAAAGTTGACCCAGTCAACTTTATTGTCCCCTTCCCCCTCAAAAATGTGTTGTTTTCATGCCTTTAGTGAGCAGTTGGCTTGTTTGGCCATGTCCCCATCATGCGACTTTGACAACACCCAGATTCTCTGGAAAAGAGAATAAAGTCTGCTTTTGTGATCAGATGGGTAAGAAGGTGGTGGAAATGAAATGAACCAATTTGGAAGGAAAAAAAAAAAGCAGTTGTTTTCAGGGAAAAATAATCTCCCAAGAGATACTTTTAATGCGTAGGCCTTGAAGTGCTACACGTGTATACCCGCCCCAGTAACCTGTTTGAGAGGACCGATCTTAAGTATTTTATTTCAATGGACCTGGGGTTCCATTCTTTCCATAAGAGAAACATCCTGCCTCTTACTGATGTTAGCATGAAGGACCTTGAGCTGATAGATATTTGGCCAATGCTGTAAAGTATCATTTTTTAATATGTATTTGTGACTTGAATTACACATTTCTGGAAATTAACCAGTGGAAGAGTAATTGTTGTCTCCTCCCAATTTAAGCCTTCAGTTCTGCCCATATCCTTTTCTCTCTTCCATTACAATCACCCAACGTTTATTTCCCCTGCTGTGACCTGTAGCAGATCACATAGTAGCGGGGAGATGTGTTTTGTTTTTGTAGGGTTATGCTGGGCTCTTGTGCCAGCAAGGCAAAATCGTGGTGTAGATTAAACTGTGTAGAGTGTGAAACTTCACAGCAGTGTTAGGTCCTTTGGTTGAGTGTGCTTCCAGCTTCTAGAGCAGCTGCCATGCCCTTTGCCCAAACCAAACTGGTATGTGTGTTTGTTGGCCCAGGCAGATGGTCCATACCCCAGTCCCCTCCAGTTTTTGTGCAGAAGCAAAGAGCTGAGCCGACCTCTTCCATTGCCTTCAAAGTAACAACTGAATGGAGAGTTGAGCACAAGCACAGGTGTCTGCTGGAAAATGCGTGCTGTGCATGCTTTGCTGGTTTCTTTGTCTTCTGTTTGGGAACTAATTTGCCTTTTCTTGTGAGTTTGCAGTGCGTTTTTGGGGTGGCTGGCAGTCATAGTGAAAGAAGCCTTGCTTTTCAGGGGTAATTTCATGAGGTTTGAAGAAGCGAACTGTGTAGTGTGTCATGGGAAGCCAGGGCCATGTTATTTTTTATTAGTTTTTGCTCGTGCAGTTTGGTTAGTACTTCCCAGCTTTGTCTTTGCCCATAAGCTCTGTTCCCTCACCAAAGTGTTGCGTGTTGGTACCCAGGGAGGCGAGGGACACCAGCAGAGATGTTGGCTCCTTCCTGCGTGCACGGAGGCAGAGTGGGCTGCTGAGCACAGCTTTTCCCATTGCGGGCTCAGAGGCAGTGGCTGTGTTGGGAATGGAATAGCAGCCTGGAACACATGGGTGAAGTTCATGTAGCACAGACTGCACAACGAAGGAGAGATGTAGGGAGAGCTGCAAGTCCTGCACTGTATCTGTGACACTGTATCTGGGGAGGGGGAGGGAAGAGTATCCTGAGCGGGAGGGGTGGTGGGAAGCTAGAAGTGTTCAAATTGTATAATATTTTATATAAACATAATAAGCTTAGTTCCTCTTCATAATCTTCAGGAATGGTACTTTAACACCATTAAGCAAAGAATTGTTTTAGGGTTAAATAAATGTATTGTACATAAGGCCATACGTAATCTTCTAAAAATGTCGCCAGACAGGAGCGATGTGTATTACTATATGAAAAAAAAAAGTCCTTAATGCACTGTTATCTCCTAAATATTTAGTAGTAAATTAATACTATTTAATTTTTTTTAAAAATTTGTCTTGTGTAGACACTAAAAAGTATTACACAAAATGTGGACAGAACGTGTCCTTTTTAACAGCAATTTAAAGAACTTTTTATATACGTAAGGTAGTATACTTTTCAAATTGTTCTAGTTGTATTTTCCCATGTTTACTATTTGTGGAAGTGTGCCTGTCTCTACTCAGTTACTTTTTTCTAATGATTTCATGCACGCATCTTTCATTTTTGTAGCTTTCATTAGGAATTATTGCGTATGCGCCCCATGCTGCCACAAAACTTTGCCGCTTTCCATCAGTGGTGGCCACGTCCAGCAGTGCCCATGCCGATGGGCTCACGAAACCACAAAATGGAATACTTTTCTCATTCTAGAGTTAAGAGTTTACTGCTTTTAAGTTGTCCTGATGTCACTCTTGAAATGACTGTTAAAACTAAGCTATGAGTCCCTTGCATTCATTTTATATTCTTGGTTGTAATGAAATGAAATTGACTTTGCTTCAGTGTGAATTTTTTTAATAAAATAATATACATTTGTAATAATAATAAAAAGTTGAAATCAAATAAGCGTGCTGAAAAGTTTTTGTAAACATTGGCTTTCGGCTACAAACAGGGAAAATACAGCCCACAAAATTGCACTTGTAATTACATTCAGGATGTTTATGATAGCGTACACCACAAAAAACAAAGCTTGCAAAACCTCAGAGTTGAAATTATAGCTTTCAAAATGTCCACGAGGATATTCATGGGTATGTGTCTATCAAAATAGAATAAAGCCTTATGGAAAACGGAATAGATGGAATAGTTCTTTTAGGTTTTGACCTCTGTTGAAAAGTATTCTATTATGCCACACGGATGGCACTTGTTGAGATTTGTTGTTGTTAGTGAGACAATCCTACAGATCAGTTTTCTGGGAATTAAACAAAAAGAATGAAAAGGAAAGCTATTTTACTGCATTCCAAAGCTAAATGTCATCTTATTTCTTCCTTCCACTGGACGTTGGGGGATTTCAAGTATTTCAGTTGACAACATAAAGAGCGCAAGCTGGAGCACCTTGGTATTTTTCAAAGTGGCTTTCTGTGTGCTTTGCTACTCTGTGTATTTCCATTCCAAACAGTTGTTGTTTCACGGACAGTGAAAGTCCCACCTATTTTCTCCGTAACGGTTACGTGGCTAAGAATGGTTGGGGTCTCCTTGCTCTACAGTTGATGTTAAGAAAGAGACTTCAGTTCCCTATATGTCTTTCAGATGAAAGTGAGATTAGGATTAGCCTTTCACACAAAGAAAATACTAGCAGAGGAGTTCTGAATGATTTGTACTTGCAATGCCTTTCACCTAGAAAGGTCTAAAAGCATTTTAAAGAATCAAGGCCATCACTTATAGGATGCGGGATTATGAGAAGGCTTCCTATGTAATGCTAAAAGGTGAGCTGAACAGCAAATGTCTTTAACTGTAGTTTTATCTGCAACTTGGGTACAATACTGCTCTCAAGTCTGTTTCATGGCCAGAATAAAATGCATCCACCTCAGGCACCTTGTGGATGAACACATGTTACTTCAGCCTCAGTACAACCGGGCATCACCAGCTTTATACCCCTCATAGTTTGCTTTCCTATCTGTTTTTCTGTCAGTGCCTAGTCAATTGCTTCACAGAATGACAGTGATTAGAGGTTGGCTGGGACCTCTGGGTCCATCTGCTCCAACCCTGCTCCACCAGGGACACTTCCAGCAAGGTGTCCAGGCCCACATTCAGGCAGTTTCTGAAAATTTCTAAAAAGGAGCCTTTAGCCTCTGGGCAGCCTGTGTCAGTGCTCCATCACTTACAGTGCACAGCAGTGCTGCCTGGTGCTCAGACAGAACCTCTTGTGTTCCAGTTCCACTGCCCCTTACCCTGGCACTTGGCACTGCTGAAAAGAGCCATCTTCTTTGCACCCTCCCTTCAGGTTTTGTAATCAATTTGTAAAAATTGGTGAGATCCCCCTCAGCCTCCACTTCTCCATGCTGAGCAGGCCCAGCTCTGTCAGCCTCTCCTCACAGCAGAGGTGCCCCAGTCCCTTCAGCATCTCAGTGATCCTCAGCGTGGATGTCCTTACAGCCTCATGTGCTGGCTCTGTCCCAGTCTACGTTCTGCAGCACCCCTGACTGATTTTCTTGCCTGGTCATGCAATCTAGAGTCTAATTCAGGCTCACATTGATCTGACTTAGTATCATCTCTTTTCTGTCCCTGCCAGCTAGACAACTTATATTTCACAGCATCTGGGAAGTTGTGCGGTATACTGTTCATTAGGCTCTTGCTTTGACTTGTTGCTTCCTGCTCTGCATTACTGTTCTGGCTTTGTCATCTTTGTTCCATTGGATGTGAAACTGCTCTCTTTACTTTCACATCACTGCCAAAGCCTGATGTGAGCCCATGCCCAACCCTCTTACTCAAATGAAGTTATCTCCTGGTCTGATCATCTCATCAGATCAACTTCTATGACCCTCATTCTAGATTTCCAAATAAGCATTTTCATGCTGCTTCCAGTTGCCCCTTGTTCCTGTTGCATAAATTTTTGCAGAATTCCCTCCTACGTGTCACCTGCATCTCTTGTTGAAACACTTTTAATTTCATACCTATGGAAGTTTAATACTTAAAGCAATGGATATCCTGAGTTGTACCTGTTGTGTTAATGGATACAGTCGCAGTGGATACAGTCTCACCCATCCCATCACCTTCCACACGCCCGTTGTGAGTTCCCTGAGACAGGAAGGGCCCATTGGTCCTAATACAGTCGTTTCATGCCTGGTGCTTGGAGGCATTCTATTGCAAATAACAGCCACTTGAGTACTGTGCTTTTTACTGCTGGGCAACGTGCGGTAATAGCATGAGAGCTGATTTCATGTGCTGTTTGAACACAGAAGACATCATACTGGTGCCAAGTATTATCAGTTTGATCTGGCTAGACTTGGAACTCCAGCAAGCACCATTCCAATAGCCAACAAATTACAATGTTAATTACCTGCAATGTTTTTTAGCAGGTAGGTACTGTTCTTTTACATTTCAGAGAGCTTCACATCCTTGAGATTGATTTATTTTGTTATTGTAGTAGAAACTAAGAAAAAGTATTACTGTATGGTGACTGCAATTATTTTTTCATTTGCAAAATAAATACTTGTTACAACGATGATTGTTTGAGGTAGATTAAAACCAGCAACAAAGTTCTGAAAGATATGTGTATGGTTATGGTTGAGCTGCTGAAATTGCTGTGTGAGTCCCACAGTGTTTATGTAACAGATACTCAAGATAACCAAAGTAGATTTTTTTAATGTATAATCATTATTATTTGAAGTCTGAAGGCAGTACCAATCTCCCTAACAATTTCAATTTGATGTGCTTGACTTAGTCTACTGTAGTTAAGTTTCTCTAGCTTCTGGTCAGTAACTGGCCGTTTCTGTGGTTATTCGGTGTTCTTTAAAGTATCTTGAAGGAGATAGAGAACTTTGGGAGCACGTCAGCTATGTATGCATGTTGTGTACAGGGAATATACAGCTGAAAGAAGGAGTGACTAAAGGAACTGGGGCTGTTTAGTCTGGGGAAGAGGAGGCTGAGGGGAGACCTTATTGCTCTCTTGCAATATCTGAAAGGTGCTTACAGTGAGAGCACGGTTGGTCACTTCTCATTGGTGACAGGTGACAGGACAAGGGAAATGGCCTGAACTTGAGCCAGGGTAAGTTTAGGTTGGATATCAGGGAAAA